TGCTTGGGAATCACGGGACCCACAGTGAACAGAGCCTGGAAATTCCCCCTGTTGTACTGTGTGTCCAGCATCCAGGACTGTTTGTTTCCTCCTTCCTTAGTCAGAATGAACCTGTCAAATCCTCTCTGAGACCCACACTGGAGGGTGATGTTCCCTCCTGAAGTGACCACAGGGCTGGGCAGGGCTGAGAGGCTGGGCTTGCTGTAGACTCCTAAGATAGTGGTAGGCAGCATGTGAAGAGGACTCACACTTCCCCATTGCTGTGCTGAGAGAGGGCACAGCCTTCACAGCAGAACCCCATCTGAGGACACAGCCTGGGGCTGGGACCCTGAGTGACCTCTCACCTGTCACCACCAGCTCCAAGAGCTTACTGGGCTGTGACCAGCCAGCAGGACTGTGATAGTAACAGCGATATTGCCCTGCATGTTGCTTTGTCACAGATGGGATGGAGAACTTGGCTTTGTTCCTGGATGCAGGTGAGGTCTGCCTGTCCCAGTTCACTGTCCACCCTTCTTTATCTAGATAGTACTCCTGGGCCTCCAGGGTTCCCTCACACCTGAGAGCCACAGGCTTCCCCTGGGGGATCACACTGGACGGTTCAGCAAAGAAGGAGGCCTTGGGTAGAGTCCCTGTGGAGAATTAGGAGAGGAAGCATCAGGGCTGTTCTGCACACTGCCTGGGTCCAAGCAGCTGTCATTCATTCTGACCCGTAAGGAGCAGAGGGAACCAGAGGAGCCGCTTGAAGGTTACTCTCCTTCTTGCCATCTAAAGTTCCGTCTCACTGTCTCACTCGATCCCTCTGTCTTGAGTATCACTGCCACCATCTTGCTCTTTCTTTGAGCTCAGGATCCCTGGCTCCTCTCTTCTCCCCCGCCTTGAAGCTGGGTCAGGCCCTCTGTCATGAAAGGAAAGGCTGTGCCTCCCTCACCTGGGACCAGGAGCTCCAGGGCATCACTGGGCTCTGACCACACCTGGGGTTGTCTCCTGAAATATCCATAGCATCTGAAGGTCCACCTGTGGCTGGAGGTCACAGGACCCACATGGAACAGGGCCTGGACATGTTCCTCAGGGCCTGGCTGTGAGTCCTGTGTCCTGGAGAGCCTGGATCCCCATTCCTCAGTCAGAATGAACCTGTTAAATCTCATCTGTGACCCACACAGGAGGGTGACGTTCCCTCCTGAGGTGACCACAGGGCTGGGCTCAGCTGACAGGCTGGGTTTGTTGTAGACTCCTAGGAGAGAAGGGAGCAGCATGAGAAATGGGCTCATACCTTGCACACTGTCCTTGAGTCTGGGCTGTGAGAGGGGAACATGCCTAAGCACAGGTCCCTTCCTGTGGGCAGCACCTGGGTAGGGATCCTGAGTGTCCTCTCACCTGTTACCACCAGCTCCAGGGCATCACTGGGCTCCGATGAGCCAGCAGCATTTTGATAATTACAGTGATATCTCCCTGCATGATATGCTGTCATGGATCTGATGGAGAACTTGGCAGTATTCATGGGCATTTCTAACATCTGTGTCTTCCAGGGTGGTGAGCTTCCCTCTTTAAGCAGATGGCACTTCTGGGCCCCCAGACTCCATGCACACCAGAGGTCCACAGTTCCCCACCGTGGAATCACAGAGCCGGGCTGAGCCCACAGCCTGGGTTTGGGGAGGATCCCTGCAGGGAATCACAGCTGAGTCCCAGGAATTTCCTCCTTCCCTTGGATCGCAGCTCTCAGCCACAGGAACCTCCAGACCTCCCAGCACCAGCCCACACTTGCTGTGCTTCATCCCTACTGCCCATCCCTACTGCTTCATCCCTCTTGTCCCCTGGAAGAGCAGGGATAAGGGACAATGAGGGACACACTCACTTGCCTGCCCTCGGGTCCTGGGCCCCAGACTCAAACCTAGAAGAGAATTCCCTGTGAGAGGTTCACCCTGGAGCCCGAGCAGGTCCTCTCCTCCCCAGAGCCTCCTGAGCCCTGGTCTCTTGATGGTCCAGGGTTTGGCTGTGGGGTGTGGTCCCACCCAGACCAGGGTGTCCCCTCCTTTCTTCCCCTCTCACCCAGGCAGAGCAGGGCTGTCAGGGTGGGCATCATGGCTTCTCCAGCCGCTGATCTCAGATTCTGTAGAGATGTGAGTGCGCAGCTCTGCAGACCCCACTGACACACGTGGGAACTTCAGGACTGGGTTCTGCCCTTCACGAGTTGTCACAGTGCTGCCCCACATTAATGGGAACTGCCCTCCCCATCAGCCAGTGTGCTGTGTCTGGGGTCAGGCAGGGCTGTGTCTGGGTCAGGCAGATGTCTGATGTGGGGCTTTCCTTCCCTTTTGAATCTTCCTTCATTTTATTCATCTCACTGAGGGCCAGGACACAGCAGTAGACAGACGTCATGACTTCCCAAGCTGGTCTCCTCCAGGGGACAGTGCTCAGGGCTGGTCCTTCCTCCCAGAGCCTCCTCACAGGCCTCTTATCTCCCTAGCCCATCCATGTGCATAGCTCGGTCATCCTCACCATAGTCATCCTCCCCCAGTCCTGGAGATGTTCTAGGGAAGATGCAGGTTCCTGCTGCAGGTGGACGAGAGCAGAGATGCCTTGTGCCCTGCCTGTGCAGCTCAGTGGAACTGCGTCCTGAGAATCAGCACGGAGGAGAAGGGCAGGGCCGCAGGGCAGCAGAGCTGACTCACTTCCTGCCCCAGTGCGGGCTTCCTTTGCTAAACCTTCCCCTTCATGGCTTCCCTTTTTTCTTAGCAACTGAATCTACCAGCTGCTCCATGGGAAGAAATTTCAGATGATTTTTGCTTTCTCAGGGCCGCTGTATAGGATGTCCCTGAGTTTGGTGCTGGCTGACTTCAGTCTAATGCTTGGTTGTCATTCTCAGTGATGTCCTGAAATTAGCATCTCTCTCTGAGCCTCAGCTTCCTCATTTGAGTTTGGGCCATGTGAGGCCCTAGGTGTGGGACCATGTACATGCCAGGACCAGGTCCCCATGTGCTCTCTGCACTCGGAAGTGGTCTGTGTGGTCGTCTGCTGCTTCTGGACCACCATAGTCACGAAAGTAAATGAATGTTTTTGAGTGAAGGATTCAAAGAACAAAGCTGAGGGCCCCTGGAATATCTAATCAACCAGAACTTATTAAGGAGCTTGTCTCTTGGAGGTGGGATTGCAGTGGGCCATTGAGTTGGGAAACCCAGTATGTACAGGGCGTGGCCTGTCAACCACAGCCAGGCCCTGCTCAGAAATGTTTCTAGCTGGTAGCACAAACCAACCAGAGTCCTGTCTTCAGTCTTCTTCTGAGAACTCAAGGAAGTTTCTGATAGGATGACCCAAATCTGGCATTTGCTAGACGAATGGGAGGTACAAAATATGGCTGCCAAATATGTCTGCTATTGTGGTCAGGCCCTCCATGGTCTCTCACCTTTGTCCAATCCCACCAATAGAATGTAGAATGTGCTGCCTGTCCAGTTTTTATTTGGCCCCATGTTTCTTTCCCTTATTATATTTTAATCATTCATTTATTTATTTGATAGAGCTTCTCACATAGAGTTGAAGAGATTCTCCTGTCTCAGCCTCCACAGAGCTGGCATTAGAGGCATGGGCCACCACACCTGTTCTAGGGTTAGCATGGCATGTGGTAATGAGGGTAGACTCTGGTCCTTTCCCTTGCCAGGCAGGCACTTTTCCTCCTCCTGCTCTTGCTCCTGCTTCCCCTCTTGCTCCTGCTCCTCTTCCTCCTACTCCTCCTGCCACAGTCTGTTCTATACTCTTAACTCCAAGTGCACACACACAAATGGTATTCTTGGGGCCAGGGAGAAGGCTCAGTGGAATAAGCGCTTTCCCGGCAAGTGCATGGGCCTGTGTTCAATCCCCGGTTCCACAAAAACAAAAACAAAAACAAAAAAAAAACCAAAAAACAAAAAACTAAAAACCAAATGGTATTTTTTCCTATATGTTATGTTACTGATGCCACATGTAAACAGTTTATATGTTTATGTTGAGTATATATACATTTCTGTGATTTTAGTTATTAATCTAGTATGTGATCTATTTTAAGGAAAGTACTACATGCTGCAGAAAATGTTTATTCTGCTCTAATAATATGGAATACTCTAGATATCTATTAAATCCCTGTATTTAAGAGTGAGGCTCAGCTCCATATTTCTTTTTTTATAGTTGTAATATCTCAATTTTAATAATGTACATACATGTCATCCACGTTTTCATAACTTATATGATTTCAACCTCATATTCAATTCAAACAACAGCTCCATATTTCTATTGAGTTTTTTTTGCCTTGTGTGAAATAAATTTATTTATTTTTAATAATTTTATTGAGAAACAAATAGCAATGAGACAGTTTAAAAATGGTCAGTAGGATAGTTTCAATAATAAATACATTGCACACTGTTGTCTCAGTGGTTATTCATTGCACAAGATGCAGACATGATATCCCATCAACAAACACTATTAGAACAAATCTTATTATTTGAAAAAACAGAATGTAGCTCTATATCTATCCTCAGTATTTTGAGCATACAGATACAAAATGGTCATTCATTTTTATGCCCTTTTTTCATTTAGTTTTTTCAGAGAAAGATATCCCATTATCATTT